CCGCTCCTCCAGCAAGTACAGCCGTGGCTTCTCACCAAAGACATTGCCACGTACTTTCAAGCTGTCGTCTCGTTCGTAACACTCATGATTCTTCTCGTGGCCGTGACGACAACAGTGTACATGATTTTGTGCCGTGGACACTTTGTCGGTACCAATATGCTCAAGCTCGACCGCGTCGGCGGCATCGTCTGGGTCGGTCGGCCGCTGCTGTTTCTTCGGTCGCTCACGGCCCTCTGCGTCCTCTCGACGGCGCCCCTCGACCTTGCGAGCTCGGGGACCGTTGCGTACTTTACAGTCGTCCCCACGTCGACGACCAAGTTGCTTCTGGCGGCGTGGGAGGTCACGTGGCTTGCGACTGTCGTCGAAGACATTGCGCTTGTCGCGACACGCGAGTACGCACGCTACTATGTGCAGCTCAACTGCCTCGTGCTCTGGGTCGTCGCGTCGACCTTGTCCATGATGCAGCCCGTCGTTGTTGCCAGCGCCATTGAGAAAGCCTGTCGCCTCGACCAAGTCGATTTTCAAATCGTGTGCAGCTCCGGGACGATCACGATTGGACAAGTGGACCGCCTCGTTCTACTGAGCGCCTTGGTGCTGAGCAGCAACTTCATTTGCTACGTCGTGAGTCGGGTTGCCCTCGGGCCGCGCCCCCCGTGCCCCGCGTCGTCAGTGCACCTCGCGGCGAGCGCGAAATATTACTTTAGCCACGACGCCCGCATCCGCGATGGCGTCTACTACCTCGATTGCGCGTCGGCCGTCCTGAACGGCTTGCTCACGCTGCGCTACAAGCAGACCATGTACGCCCTCGATGTCAAGCTCTGGCGCATCTTTGTCGTTCCCAGTCGTCAAGGCGACGACGACGAGTGGCACCTATGTTATCCACTGCAAAATGCACTGTAGTCCACCTCTTTTTGTCGCGACTTGGGCTGCCTGCTGTGACGGCGTGCTGTACTTGAAGACGACTAATGGCTTGTAGAAGTACACGTGTTTTAGGCTCTGCAGCGAGCGTCGACGTAAAAACGTCAGATCACCTCAGCACAGCAGACGTTCTGTGTATGTAAAGCTTGCAAACTACATACAGCTCTAGCAAGTTCCCGCCTTGGCAGCACCCCTTCGTATCCCCCCTTCCACCTACAGGGCCCGGCCTAAAGTGCCCAAACTCTCGGCAAGATTTGGTGGCCAGGCACAGCAATACTAGATTATGTGGATAGAAAGGGTTGTCTACTCTAGTGGCGCAGTTATGGACGCCCCACACCGATAGTCAGGCGAAATTGTGAGTGGGTGCTTCGTCGTCCAAGCGATTGCAGCTGCAGCGTACTAGTACGCCACCAAACTCACTGCGCATCCGATCTTCGCGCCAGCCACCACCCATGTTCCTCGCAAGAGACAAACACAGTCGAAATGACAACTTGCATCAATGAATGTCCTTCTGTATCAGCAAATAAGCCGCAAAAGACTACGATCACACCTGTTGTCACGGTGCGAGCGCGTCTGCCACGTCGACGTCGATGTCGTCGGAAAGGTCACAGACGGCAAAGGGCACGTCACGGACCAGAGCGAGTGCCCGCAAGAACGCACGATTGTCGTCGTCGTCTTTCCGCATATGCGTCGGTAGGGAGAGCTCGCGGAAAGTAGAGCCAATGTGCCTGGCAGAAAGTGCAAAATGCGAATCGTAATTTATCCGGAATTCATATCTTTATCCGGAACTCCTACGTACGAAAAACCGGACGACACTGAAACTGCTCTGCAGTGACCACTTGCACAGGACAAC